AACAAATAAAGGTTCAACAAAGCAAACAATGAACGATTAAGGAGAGACAACTAAAAACTCTTAAATCTCATAAAAAAACATCTCAGAAGATTATCAGGCACAAAATCACCCAAAACTAAAGTAAAAGTAAGTCACATTAAGCCAAATGATATTCATAGAGAGTAAATTCACTCGTAGAGAGATATAATGAGAGAGAATTACGGGCTTCAAGCACCTCACCTGTAGTGAGTGAGAAAATTGAAGATCAACATAGAGAAAATGGACCACTAAGATAGAGAATACATCAAAACAAGAATCGTGATGCCCTAGGAAGGTTTATTGTGGATATGACATATTATATTCCAAATAGTGGAAGGGTATGATACTAGAACTAATAGGAAAATAATGAAATTATTAATGTAGGGAGATGGTTTCAACTCAACACAGAACATAAACGACAAAGACAAACACCTCTAAGGTGTATTCTAATGGCGGTTGAGGTCGGCTAGGTGGTTCGGGATGGTTGGCAAGGGTGGTGGCATCAAGGAGTGCTGATGACAACGAGGGGAAGGTGCATAATTGCGAGGAAAATAAGTATGGAGGGTCGTAGGTGATCGACGACGTGCATATTAGGGGATAGAAGGTGCTGGACAGCAAGGGCAGCGAAAGTGGGGTGAGGAGTAGTCGATTGGGATTGTTGGGAAGGATGGAGGAGATGCTAGTTGGGAGGGGACTGCAAGGAGGTCCGCTGTAGGGGTGCCGGTTGGTTGCTGAAGGGACCTAAAAGTCTGGATAGCTAGTTGTTGCAACAGGAAGAGGGGTCGGCAGTGCAGGGGGAAGTTGTTGGGATGGTCGACAACTAAGGGAAGTGGAGGAGAAGAGTTAGGGAAGATATAATTGCTACCTCAGAGTAGGATACAGTCGGAGCACAATTACCTCTTTAAATACGACTATGCAAAAGATGAAAGAACTCTACATAGAAAATTTGAAAGCAAACACAGCAAAGAACCCTAGTCTCTTAGCAAACCAGCATAAATATTGCCCTAGCTAGGCGGGAAACAAGAAAGGAAAGAGGAGGCGACCAGTAGCACTCGAATCAAGCAGGAGATGCGAAGGAAAGACTCCAGGGTTGCTCTCCTCCAAATCTTGCTCTATCCGCACTGCTCCTGGATTGGTCTCCCCATAAAATGCCTTGGACTGGCTCCCTTATATTAGCTGGTTCAACCGACTGGCCTGTTTCCTGCATCTGTGCAGGAAACTCACGCAACCGTGTCAGTCTTTTGGGATTGGGGGGGGGGGGGGGTCGTCATCAGCCACCCCTGGATCTCACTGGTGACTGCATTGTTTACCAAAGCGTTTGAGGAGCTTTTCCCACTTGCCAACATACCTTTCTATCGATCTATTTTGGTTTGGCATAATCTAAGCTGGAGGTACACCACCACGTAGGTTCTCCTGAGCCAAATTCTGTACAAGTAAATATTTCATATGCTTCTCATCTATGTCAAGTTGGGCCTCAGTGAGGTTGAGGGTTTGTAAGAGTTTGGTTGATGAGTGATTCTTACAATCTTCCGAGTCTTCCCTCTGACTCTTAAAGTTTTGGAGAACTGATATTTTTTTTTTCTAATTTTGAATAACAAGAGCTTCACACTGGCCTTTCATCTCTTCATATGGAACATTGGGGATGAGGGTTGGAAGTGTAGCCGCCTGTGATGCTATCAATTGGTCGTCACTAAGACCATCCACTGAAATTTTAAATTTTTCTATCTTTTGGTCTGCGTGATCTTTATATGTCTCAACAAAAAGTTCTCCATCTTCTAGGAGAGTAGGAACCACAATCTCATCAAAACTCGCGTGTTCCTTTTGATCACATGGAGGAAAAACATTGGATGTATCCACGAACAAGGGAGTTCCATGGGGGAAGATGTCATCGGTTGAAAATTCTCGATCAAACTGTTTTTCAGTGTCTACGGTGTCTTTGTTTAACTTTTCAATGACGCCTTGCTCGGTGAAGTAGATCATTTTCCTGGTTGTGCATTCTGTTTTAACATGTCCAAATTTGTGGCACTTGCAACATTTTCTAGCTACGACATATTTATGAATTGATTTCGTTGGATAGTAGCAAGGGGGATCGCTTGGTGATGCGGTCTCTCCACTTTGGAAGCTAGAGTACGTAATTTTTGACTGTAGTAAGTTGGTAGAAACTGACGTTTGTGTTTCCCGCTTCATCTTCATATTTTCTCATTCTTTTCTTCGACATTCCGGATCACGGTCGAGGGTAACCTTTTGCTGGATTTTCTCTTCAATATCCATAAGCTTTCGCTGAAGACTGCGGAGCTCTTGTCGTATCTCGTCTCGGGTAGGCTTGGGTGTAGATCTTCTTGGTGGAATGGTTAGGGTTTAGGAATAGGAAGGAAAAATTTTTAGTGGATGTGAAATAGGGTAAAAATAATTGGGGTCAAGGTTGTTGATTTTGAAAACCAGCGAGAAGAATTAGGCTTAGGAAAATGTGGCAGGGAAATGGTATTGGGTGGTAGTAAGGAAATTATTGTTTATGGCGGACACTAGGGAACCCTAAGATAGAACTAGAGTTGAGCTAGCTCTCGTACCAAATGATACTGGAACTAGTAGGAAAATCAATGAAATACTCAAAAAAAACTTTTATTAATGTAGAGAGAGGGAACTTTACATAAAATAATAGCACAAAGCATAAAATACACCGACAAACACATCTAAGATGTACCAAGGGCGGTGGAGATTGGCTAGGTGGTTCAGAATGGTTGGCAAGGGTGCTGACAGCAAGGAGAGCTGATGGTAGCAAGGGAAAGGTGCAGAATTGCGAGGATAACAAGTGTGGAGGGCCGTAGGTGACCGGTAGTAGGCGGATTGGGGGTTGGAAGGTGCTGGACAGTAAGCACAATCGAAGTGGGGTGAGGAACAGTTGATTGGAAGTGCTGGGAAGGATCAGGGAGATACTGGGGTGGTCGACAACTAAGGGAAGTGGAGAAGAAGAGTTAGGGAAGATACAATCACCACCTCGGGGTGGGATACAGCCGGAGCACCACGACCTCCTCGGATACAACCCTACAAGAGGGAAAAGGACTCCACACAAGAAATTTGAAACCAAACACAACAAAGAACCTAGACTCTTAGCAAATTAACATACATATAGCTCTAGCTAGGCTGAAAACAAGAAAGGAAAGAGGAGAAGGCGACCGGTAACGCCGGAACCGAGCGGGAGACGCGAAAGGAAAGACACCAAGGCCGCCCTCCTCCAAATCCCGCTTGATCCGCATTGCCTTTGGATAGGTCTCCCCATCAAATGCCTTGGACCGGCTCCCCTATGTCAGCCGATTCAGTCGTCTGGCTTGTTTTCCTCATCCGTGTGGGAAACTCACGTACCCGTGTCAGGGTAAAACCTGAAATAAATTATAACGAAACAGTGGAATGCAGCCCGCCGCAAAGCGAGGGTAGAAGTCACATGCCGCAAACCTTCTCCGTGATTTTCTCTTTGCCACAAGCATGCCGCCCGGCCAAAACAGCCGGACAGTGCATTCTGGCATTGCTGCTCCAAATGGCACCTTAAGCGCTTAATGATGTCTATGATAATTTCATGGGTAAGTGCTGGTGGTTTATTTCTTAAAAAAATTTCTCCTGTTTGCACGTGAGATATAGTTGACCATGATTATGTTATTTTAACTAATTTGCTAAAAACTAATGTTTTCCAAATTAATATGTTATTTTCATGGTTTGTATGAAGGAGTATATCCTGAATTCAGTTTGGTCATGTGTCCTTAATTGAGCTTGGTAGGCTGTTTGCACTTGCCGTCTAATGAATGGACTCAACATTGTGGTACGGTCTCTCAACTTTTCAAGCAGGATCCCTCTCAAGGTTAATAACATGAATTTTGATTAGAGATTTTTGTTTATGATTAAATAATTAAATTATTAAACACTTGGTGAAAAAATATTGTTAATTAAAGGCTAATGAATTGGGCCATGATAAATTGTGAGCTACTTACAAATTAGGACATTAAGGAAATTATTAATTAATTTATTTATCAAATAGCTGATTTGCTTTTGTTAGTTGATTCATACTAATTCATCAGTACATAATAAGTGATTAGTTTATTTAATTCTATAGTTAGTATACTAAGTGAATGGAAAATCTTTACTGTTAATCAGTGATGAATCAGTTATTACTTCCTCCGCTTCTCTTTCTTTCTTTTTTTGTCTTCCACATTCTTACTCCAATTCTTTCCTATTCTGTCTCACCTAAGTGGATGTTGCACTCAAGGTTAACCTATGCACAAATTCGAGTGATTAGCCTGATTGCGAGGAGGCATGATAAGCTAATTAGAAGGATTGAAAACTTACTGCTCCCTCCATTACATGACTATAAAATCTGAAATGCCCAATTAAGCAATTAGCTCTGATTAATAACTCAATTTTGGCCAGCTAAACAAACCTTTAATGTCTAATTAGATTGGATAATGTTGAGCAATTTTTAAAATTGAAGTAGAAATTGACCCAGCGGATCTGAACTGGTTAACTTTTACAGGCAAGAAAATGATCAATTGAAAGACAGGATAATAGATGAATCAACAATTTCAAGCATAATAGAATAGAATTAAAGAATACATTGCCACAAGATGATTGATTAATGGGGGATCTTAATCATGTTTGTTTCGAATTACGAAACTATGGAGCTTTGTAAAATTCTTGTTCGCTTGTTTCACATATTTCTTTTACTTGATCTGTGGAATGGCTTTGTTGTAATATTTTGCTCTGTTCTACCGAAAAACAGTTTATACACTGTCTATCAAATATATACTAACAGATTGCAGGAGAACAGCACAACTTACTAGCTCTGAACTATTAAAAGAACCATACCTTATTGTTTATGACCTGAAGTACACCTGAGAAGTTTTTCTTTATTTTAGCTGTGCTACTTACTTTCTCCAGTGGTTATATGCAAAATTTCTTTTTTAGCCTCATACTTTTAATTTTATCTATGGTACTAGGACTGTTTCATGAAATGCTCCAATCCACAAAAGTGAAGGAATCCCAATCAACATGGAAGGTGCTTTTGTTGCATTGCTTACCTTTTTTACATTTTATTTATTTATTCTATTATTTATTTATTTTTTCGTCTTGTTGTCTTCTGCTACTTAGTTTGAGTGGTTCAATTGCTAAAGGAAAATAATAAAAAATATCTGCAAAATTTTCTGTTTTATCTAGAGAAATCTTGTTAGATGTTTTTTTTAAATTTTTTATTTTTTTATTTATTAACTCTTACACACACTGAATGTGCTAGACCTAGAACACAAGATCTTACTGTTCGAGACAATAAGTCCAACATCTAAACCAAAGTGGGCTGCGAAAATCTTGTTGGATGTTGCTTCTACTTATCCTGGGCCCATAAACAAAGAGGAATTTCTATTTTGTCTGTTGATCTACTAGCATCAAATTTATGTTTTTAATAAACCTTATCCTAGCTCAATAATATATTTGCCTGGGCAAAAACGTATTCTAGCAATAATATATTTGGGCCATCTTATGGTGAAGAAGATAGGCTGATAAAGTTCTGAGTTATTTGATGCATGAACCCTTAGTAACCAGACTCAAACATAGCTTTTAATTTTTTTTTATTGTCTTAACCAATTCAATTATCTGCAACTGCAACAGCTCCCACATTTTTTTTTGTGCTGCTTCGACTATAATTATAATTTATGCAATTTTTTTGCAAAACTTGTATTCAAGAGTTCAAGTGTATATGCATAACTTGTTTTAGTGTTTTCGGGTACATTAATATCTCAGTTCAGTTGTACTTTTTACATGAGAGAGGACACGCCTCACATTTAAATTATGCAAAATGTCGTAGATGATAATGCATACCTGATGTTTTTAATACGTTTTGCACGCTAATCTGATTGTATTACAATTGTCTTTATCTAGGTGCTAATACTGGATAAATTTACTGTGAAAATCATGTCCTATTGTATCAAGATGTCAGAGATCACTAACAAGGGAATTTCATGTAAGTACATGATGACTTTAAAATAAAAAACAATTCTCTCTATTTCATTATGTTTATTTTTTATGTTAGTATTGGGATAGAGGAATTACTTAGGGCTTCAATTCATTTACAATCAAAACCACACAGCTGAAATAGGAACACCGATTCGATCAATACGGAACAAAAAAAATCCAACAGAAGCATAACAAAGTAATCTAAGAAAAACAGATCGAGACCTACATAAAAAAATCCGAGAATGAGAAAAATCATGGAGCCACACCACAAAAAATTCTACTATTAATAGGAGAAATGTACATATTATACCACTCAGATCTTCTCTCTATGTTAACTGAAACTCACAGAACTTTGCTACAAACTTTACTCTCTATCTTACAAGAGAAAGACCTCACTGAAATCTACCTCTTTGATCCTTTTTCGTTTTACAAAAGTCCTGTCTAGAATTCTGCACGCGAGAGATACTCGTGCTCGAATTGAAAACTTAAGAATCAAAACGGGAGAACAAATCGTCTTGGCATAACCACTTCGAGACTAGTGTAACCGAATGTTATGTTCCACAATTTTAGAATCCGTAGAGCTCCGACATCACAATTTCTTTGAAAGTAAAACTCTTACTTCTAATGAACTTCTGATTCTGATAGTTTTAGAATTTTTACCCAATTCATCAGAGTCATTTCAATTGAAAGTGTGCTTGACAGATTTCGAGTCAAGCTTATCTTGGAACCTGCATCAGCATGTGCATATGTAGAACATCCAAATCTATTAAAGTGAGATAGATTTACCTCTTTGTTACTCTAGAAATTTTCAGGTATGCCTTCTTTCAAATGTATAAACGGACCATGGTAGATCAGATGCATTGCAACGTTCACTGCTTTTGACCAAAATTGCCTTGGCAAGCGTGGATGCAACCTCAGACTTCTGGCACACTTCGTGATGGTTCTATTCATGCGCTTATCTTCTCCATTTTGTTTTGGAGCTCTTGAAACAATGAACTCATGTCTGATCCCCTCTGAAGCATAGTAGAGTTCATGGTGTTCATGTGCTTAGCTACTCCATTATATCGTGGAATTCATGCTTGATCCCCACTGTGGAGTTCTTGAACCTGTGATCATGATGCTTGCCCACGTTATCTCATCCTAGACACTTCAACTTCAAGCATGTCTCATTTTTTACATGAGTTTCCACTTAAACACTTCAAATACGCTAAGATTTTTGCTTTAAGAAAACATATACATTTCTTGTGTAATCGTCAATATATATTTTTGGTGTGACAAAATAGTAGAAATTTCTAATGGACTGAACTCGAGTAGGATCTCATACATTAGTATGCACTAACTCCTATTTTTTTGACTTTACCATTGGCTTACATTTGGGGAAAGAAACTTTCTTCTTTTTGTCATATACACAATCTTCACAGAAGTTTAAATATATAGATTTCAAACCTTAAAATTTATTCTTTGAAAATAGGGAATTCATATCTTTCTCGCTCATATGATCAAACATACGCTGCCGCAAACCTCTTTTTGGGGTATGCATGAAAATAAATTCTTGAATCTACTATCCAAAATTCAGTACTAGAGTGTCACATTGGATTTCGCCAGTGGAGACATTTGTAGAGTGATTTTTTTCTTGTCCCACACCACCAGCTTTCCTTGGAGCCTTACAATCATTCTTGAAATGCTCTTTCTTTTCCCAGTTCGAGCATTCTTCTCAGCTTGACATGGACTTTCGTCTTTTGGACTTGAATTGGTCTCTTTACCTGTATATCTGTCCAGATTTCTTCAATTATTTTCAACATTTAACTCAAAACTTAAATATTCACCGTTCACTGAAGTTCTACGAACTTCTTTATTCAACAGCAATCTTATGATGCCATTGAAGTTCAACTTCATATTCCCATAAGAGTTACTAACCGTCTCAACCAAACCATCCGAGCTGTCCTACAATGATGTTTCATAATTTATAGTGCTTTGATCTTATCATCAAATTTATCATCATAAAACATAACTGGCTTGTCACAATATTGAAATTGTTTGAGTGTTCGGACATTGAACTACTTTTTGCCATCTTCATATTGAACAATCTCTTTATTAAAAAAAATCTTATTTGAAGCAAAAGGTTTTTCATACATCTTTCAGCACTACCATGAGATCGACCGTGGTTTTCTCATTCATTGTATTGAATGCAACAAAAAAAAAAAAATGACAAACGAATGAAATCTAGAGTCGTTCGATTTAACATTTTCCATTCCTCCACAATCATCGATTCAGGCTTAATGATTCCTTGTAGTGGAAGATACAGTTTTTTCTTATACACCATAACCTCCACTTGCATCCTCTAGAACGAGAAGTTCAATCTATTAAATTTCTCCTCGCTTCATTGGTCATTGCTCCCACTCGAATCAAACACTACGCTCTGATACCATTTGTTGGGATGAGGTAATTACGCAGGATTTTGATTCTTTCACAATCAAGATCACACCGCATAAAATAGAAACACCGATTCGAGAAATTCGAAACAAAAAAATTTAACAGAAGCACAACAAATTAATCTAAAAAAGCACACTAGATTTTACATGGAGAAACCTGAGAATTGGAGAAAACTACAGAGCCACATCACCAAAAAATTATATTGTAAACGACAGAAATGTACATATTACACCACTATGAGCTTCTCTCTGTAATTATTAGAACTTATATAATTTTGCTCGAAACTTTCCTCTTGATCTCACAAGAGAAAGACCTCACTGAAATCCACCTCCTAGACCTTTTTCCTTTCCAAGAAAGTCATGTTGAGAATACCGCATGCGAGAGAGATACTCGTCGCCCGAATCGAAGGCTTAAAAATCAAAATAGGAGAACAAACTGTCTTGGCGCAACCACGCCGAGACCGACGTAATTATTTTGGATGCTTTTTTTGCAAACCTTGAACCTGCAAAGTTGTGGCCTAACCACGCTATAGTTGGCGTTATTACATGACCCTCATGGTTTTGAAAACTTGTATCAAGCAAATGGTCGGCTTAGTTACACACAGTTGCGGCGTATTCACGCCACCTGGTGTAGCTACACCCATTTTAGGCGTGGCTACGCAATGCTCAGTCGCACGAGTCCTTGGTGCTGCAGGCTCCACATTCCAACAGTTAGCATGTCCTTTCTTCAATTATTATGCTGTTTAAATCTATCAAAAAGTTATATAGATGCTTGTTAGTTCTTTTAGTTTATCTTACTGAGCATTGCTTTTAAAAACTCTTAAAAATTTCTGGCAGTGGTTGAAGAGCTTTTCAAAAGAAGGGAGCCAATGATTTCAATGGATGCAATATATTTTATTCAGCCATCAAAAGAAAAGTAAAGATTTTCTTGGAGTATATTTTTTTTTCATTATCATAATTTGGTTCGAATTATTGTGTTATTTATTTATTCCTTAATTCTTATGCTTTCATTCAATAGTAAAGGATTAAATTGCACATGCTCATACTTTTTACCATCTTGATTAATATTTCACTATGTCGATCGATTTATAAGCCAACCACCCAAGTTATTTCTTGGATGTATTGTTTTTTTTGTAACTTATGATTAAGCATTTGCAAGTTGAATCTAAACTTTTGAATACAAAAATGGAACTGGATGTCCTTATTTTTTTAGGTTGACTTTATGTGCCAGCTGTCTGAGAAAATCCACTTCCCCTTTTTATCTGTATCACCTGCCGGAAAATTTTTTTTTCCTGTTATGTCATTTTGATTGATAATAAAAGGATAATGTGTTCTTGTTAAGGGATATTATGTTGCTGGGTGAGGGGAGCTGTTTGGAATAGTTTACCGGAAATTCTCCGAAGTGATTAAGCTCCCATCCTAGCGCCATTAATGATTATGAAATTTCTTGGAGAAAGAAAATACATCCAAAGTATCTATAGCTTTTTTAGAGTTTTTTAAGGACAACTTTTGAAATCCTCATTCTTTCAAATAAAATGATTACAAAGTTCATATTAGATTTATTACTAGTTGTTAGCTTTTATTTCCTTTTAATTCTCATTATTTCTTCCCTATCTACTTTATTCTGTTAAATTTTTTTCTTTTATTATATCCATTGTAATTGAGTTTAAATACTCTTAGTACTATCAATAATGTTATGCTGCTTTATTTTTTAAAGTTTACATAGTATCAGAGCCATGATTCTAACCTTAACAGCCGCAGTTTTTTTTCCAACCAGTCGGTTCTCTCTCCAGCAGGCCAGATCTCCTTCTAGCTGGTTTACCCGACTTTCTTTCCCGCGTGGTTCTTCCCACGTGGCTCTTCCCGCAAGTTCTTTTCGTGTGGTTCTGTCCAGAGGATTGAAAACCCTTCCTTCGATTCTTCCCGCCGTCCGCTACTTTCCCTGTCGGGTTCTGTCCGCTTCTTTGCTGCTTTCTCGTTCGATAAAGGAGTAATCGAAGACCTTTCCTTGATCGAAGCCAATTATGTCAGCAGCTCCCTGCGATTATCAAGTTACTGTAGATGTTTTTTTTTTGGTATGAGAAAAACATTTATGCTTTAGTTTGCCTACTGTTCTTCCTAGCCAGACCTTTCCAGCAGTTGTATCCATCTAACGGTGATCGTACTATAATTCTTCGATGGCTCATAATCATAACCAGTTCTCCTTTGGCTGAGTCGAATTCCTGCAATTCTGAACCACCTTTAAAAGGCGTTCTTGATTCCACCGTAGGATCAACTCCAATTTTTGCTCCCTTGCAGACCGAAGGATCAGAAACTAGCATGAATTTCTTAATCACAACCTATAAACTGAATGACAATAACTTTCTCCAGGGGTCCAAAGCGGTGTCTTTGTTCATCAAAGGACATGGGAAGTTTGGTTACCTCACATGTATGGTTTATGAGCCTCCAAAGACTGACCCAACATATGGAGCTTTGGAAGTGGAGAACTCCATGGCCATATCGTGACTGATCAACTCTATGGAGACTTTGATTGATTGTTCATATATGTTTCTCCCTTCAGTTAGTGTCCTTTGGACGGGTGTCTGTGATACCTACCCGAATGTAAGAAATTTCGGCCAACTCTAAGAAATCTAAGAAAATTCGAGAGACAAAACAGAGATCAAGGACTGTGACCCAGTACTATAATGACCTTGTTGTACTATGAATGGAATGCGATACGTACTACGACTACAATTGAGATTCTCCAACCGATCTATCCCTCTTCCAGAAGATTGTACAAAAAGATTGTATGTTCAAATTCCTGGCTGACCTTAATAAAGTCCTTGACAAAGTTTGGGGATGTATTTTTGTTCGGGATCCTCTTCCTTCCGCTCGTGCAGTCTTTATCGAGATTCGTGGAGGAGAAAGCTAGATATTTGCTATGCTCGACACTTGTTCCCCTTTAGCCGAATCATTAACCTTGATCTCCAAAAGTACTCAGTCCTCGTTTATGCCATCTCGGACCGGTCACCCTACTTGCGATTACTGTCACAAACCTAACCACACTCAGGACAAGTGTTGGAAACTTCACTATAAGTTGACATACAAGCCCTTTACCCTATCCACAGCTATCGAAGGTCTCACGACGACGACCAAACTTACCATAGCGCAACCGACTCCTACCCGGAACATCTCAGAATCCTTCGAATCCTTGAAGAATCGGATAGAACAATTGATCAAGTATTTTGGAGCCAATTAAGTCTCTGCGGGTCTGTTGACCTCCATGTCCGACAAGGTATTCTTCATATGGCTCTCACGGTTTATTCTTTTTCTAGTATGTGGATTATTGATTCAAGTGTCATGGATCACATGACTGGCTGCTCGCAAGTATTCTCAACTTGTTATCCATGCTTTGTAAAATATGTTGTCAGAGTTGCCGATGGATTCTGTAGTTCCATTACCGGTAAAGGGTAAGTTGTACTAACGGCTGGTCTAACTCTAGAGTTTTTTTTACATTTTCTTCTATTGCAATATAACTTGTTATCTGCCAACAAGTTGACAAATGATATCTATTGCGTCGCTAATTTCTCTTATGATGGTTGTGTTTTTCAGGATCGTCGTTCTGGGAGGATTTTTGGAATTGCTAAGAGGGTAGTTGGACTCTACTACTTTCAAGAGGAGATCACAGAGATTGAGGACACGCCTCTCAGAAGTTATAGCATATCTCGAGTTATTTAATGTCTCATTATGTTGTTGTATTGTCGTTTTGATCATCCTTGTTTTCAATATTTTAAAAAGTTGCATCCTTTGATGTTTTCTAATAAAATCTCTAACTTTCATCGTGAGACATGTCAGTTAGCCAAACATCATCGGGTTCCTTACCCACCCCATACTTACACACCTCATTTCTTCCTCATTCACAATGACATATGAGGACATTCTAGCACTCCTAGCTATACCAATAAATGGTGATTCTTGACTATAATTGATGACGACACTCAAATGACTTGGGTTTACAGTTTAAAAGACAAATAAGAAATTGCTATGACCTTGCAAAACTTCAATTTTGTGTTGACTTAGTTCAAAACTCCTATTCAGGTCCTTTGGATCGACAATGACAGTGAGTTTTTTAGCTCTATATTGGGTGAATTCTTGGTAAGTAAAAACAACATCCACCACAATCATTGTGTGGACGCTCAATAAAATAGGGCGACTGAGAGAAAAAGTCATCACCTCGGACGCTCCTCGATAAAATAGGGCGACTGAGAGAAAAAGTCATCACCTACTCGACGTTGCTCGCTCTATTATGTTTTAATCTAATTTCCCAAAAAAATATTTTGGAATGATGTCATTCTCACTACCATTTATCTCTTAAATAGCGTCTCCTCTAAAATTCACAGATTTCGAGATTATTGGATGCATTATCAATCGTGTCTTCTCCACATTAGATCCCAAGATTTTTAGATGCATTGTCGTTGTTCGGAACACTGCCCCTAATCGTAGTAAACTTGATCACAGATCCATAAAATGTATCTTCCTAAGGTACTCCGCAACTCAAAAGGAGTATTCGTGCTTTGATAAGACCACCAACAAAATTTATGTGAGTGTTAATGTCTCATCTTTGAAAGTGTTCCCTATTTTTTTAGCTCCCCTCAAATGAGGTTGAGCTTGAGTTTCCCGACACTGTCCCTTATCCTACTTCTGTGAATGTTCCCCCTATTGTTTCTATCATTAAAGAGTCAATTGTTCTCTTGAATGCACCATTTCTTACTCCTACTGTTCGTATCTACACTCAGCTCACTCGTCCCAATGATTCTACTCTGGAGCCCGCTGCTTTCTTACAGGATCTTGACTTCACCTCGGGCAATATCTTCATCACGACCTCTTCAAATGCAGAGGTGAGTTCTCCAAGTAAGGTATGCAATCAAACATATTCCCTTTCTTTTGTGACAAAATGTCTCTTTTCACAATTTATTGCCAACCTACAAAGCATTTACTATTGCTCTGATGGACCACTAGATCCCAGCTATTATTAAGGTTGTTCTTGCTGATCCAGCCTGGAAAATGACAGTAATGGAGGAGAGGAATTCCCTTCATCTGGACCATACGTAGGACGTTGTGGATCTTTCTCATGGTAAAAAAAAGGATGTCGTTAGATTTTCGACATCAAGTTCAACTCTAATGGGTTCTTTGAGAGCAAATGGGCGCGATTGGTTGCCAAAGAGTATTCACAAACCTATGAAGTTGACTATGTGGATATATTTGCTCCAGTGGCTAATGTAAACACTATTCGAGTTTTGTTGTCACTTGCAATAAATCTCGATTGGCCTCTATTCTAAATAGATGTCAAGAATGCATTTTTGAATGGACAACTTACGGAAGAGGTATACATGCCTCTCCCTCTTGGCTTTGATTCTGCTGCATTCAGAGGATTAGCGTGCAGGGTGCAAAAGTCCTCTATGGGCTAAAGCAATCTCCAAGGGTCTGGTTCGACAAGTCCACAAAGGTGGTTGTGGGCCATATTTTTACTCAGACTCAATCTGATCCCACCCTCTTTCCGTATTCTTTTAATGGTCAGGTAGCTATCCTTATTGTCTATGTTGACGATATTATTTTTACAGTTAATCATCTCCCAACATTGAAATTTTTAAAAGACATTCTTGCTAAATCCTTCAAAATGAAGGACTTGAGATTTCTCCGGTACTTCTTAGGCATAGAAGTGGCTCGGTCATCTCGCGACATAGCCCGACTCAACGTAAATATATGATTGATCCCTTAACAGAGAATAATCTTGTTTTGTTCAAACATGTTGTTCATATGGATAGGAATGAAAAATTATTTGACATTTTAATGTTGTGCCTGTAAATAAGACCCATTACCAGCGCCTTATGAGAAAACACATCTACCTTGCGCATACTCGCTCTGGCATTTGTCATG